ACAAGTATAAACAATTTTAGGATAGTAAAATGAAGCATAAAAACTTTTAAGGAGAGCAAAAATAATAGATCATAATCATATTTAAATCAAATATAACTTAAAGATAAGTAAATTTTAAATTAAGCAACAAATGCTAAGGACTAAGAAGTTCAGAATTAGAATTATGAATGCTGTATAGGAAAAATTTTGGGAGAAGTGGTTGAACTTATAAAAAGAAAACACTAATAACATGATTAGGAGATGATAAAGCTCAGAAATTAAATAATTAATTTAAAACCACCAAGGATTTTCTCAACTAGTATTACTAGTTGAGAAAACAAGTCCCAATTTTTCTGACGTTTTTAGGCCTGGCACTTAGTACTGCCATTAATTACCTTTATAGAACCAGCATGTTCAGACATTTTAATTGGAAACTTGATGCTCACAAGAGGTATTTGGAAAAAAGGTATCAGAGGTGTTTGATCTTCTATAGTCCATTATGGTAAAATTTGATAAAAAAATACAATTCTGTGGATGAAGCAAGCTTTATTTCAATTCCGCTGGTGACTGTAAAGAAATCTAAAACTTTGATCTTCTGGGTCAAATTTCATGTATTCATAATCATTCCAATGTCAGATTTTTGATGCAAAGATGAAAATTAGTTTGGCTTGTTGTTTGGGCATCCAATGTAAATTGTGTCTCCTGCTGTTCAGAAGGCAAGAATGATGTGATTTAGGTTTATTAGGCTTAACCATATCTGGCCTGTAAAAATCCAGTTATGGGTAGTCCTCGCTTAACGTCCATTCATTCAGCAACCATTTGAAGTTACAATGGCGCTGAATGAGGGGGACTTATGATGGGTCCTTGTAGTTGTGGCTGTCGCAGTGTGTCTACAGTCATGTGATTGTGATTCAGGCTCTTGGCAACCAGTTCACAGTTACATTACAGCTTCACATGGTCATGTGATCACCATTTGCAACCTTCACTGCCAGCTTCCGATAAGCAAAGTCAATGGGGAAGCCAGCAGGAGGTTGCAGATAGTGATCATATGATCGCAGGATGTTGCGACCATGCAGGATTCGCCTAACAATGGCAACTGGGACTGCTGCAACTGCCATCGTAGGTGGTGTGGTCACGTGATGTTGTGCCTTATGACCACGTTGCTTGTCCCAATTCTAAGGTCCCGGTCCCAATTACTATCTAAGCAAGGACTACCTACACTAGATAGCAGAAAGAGGGTTAGTTGCTGCCATCTAGTGGTGTACTGATTTTTCCAGCACGTATGTGGCATCCCTATGTTCATTCTGTCATCTTTTTTACCACTTTTTAAAATTCATTTCATGTATTCTTTTAGGGCCAAAATTATGTGCCTCTCCTGCTTGCCTCAAAATCTCTACCATCCTTTTTTTTTGCCAAAAACATCATAACCTGGTGCTAGTTTCCTTGTTTCCTCCTTGTCTTTCTTTTAAATAAGAAGCTTTTTCTTCAGTACCTTTTGCCTCAGCAATATGCAGTGGCATTAATGGGCAAATGCACTTATAGCGAGCCTGATAATGAAAAGCAGAAAGCAGAACACTGAATCATTAGGCAGCAATATGATCAGAAGTTGCTCAAGTCATCTCTACTTGAATACAAAAAAATCAGCTGCAGAGATCTTTCTAATTAGTGGAAGCAAACTCCACTAATTCTGAATATTGGATTGCAAATTTAGTTCCATACTCTTCACAATTTATAGACAAGATTCAAAGATCTTCAAAAAGGCTATCGTTTCCAGAGTACAGAAGTTTTAAGATTTTAAGAAAGTACTTCTGCATCCTATGAGAAATCAAAAGCACTCTTTCTTTCAGCCACCAGATGGTATAAGAAGATTATCTAGCTCTATAGAACTTTCTGTGGTCTCTAAAGAAGTCTTTGGAGCAAGACTCTTGACATATCACTAATTTTCCAAACCTCTCTGGATGCAAGTAGAATTTCCCATAATATTTTTTACTTAGCAAGACCCTCATTCTGAGTTTCCCTCATTTCTTTTTCTCAAGGGCTGTATGCAGAATAAAATAATCATTCTTATTTCAGGAGAGCTTAAAATAAAAAGTGATTATCAAGACTCTCCTAGACAAGACAGGCAGTTTTCTTCCTCTAGTTCATATAATCCTCCCTAAGGCATTCTCAAACTCCAGACACAAGCCTAAGCACTTTCCAGGATTTCAGTATTGCTTCATGGAGGAATCTAACCATTAGTTCCTGGATTCTTCATGAAAATAACTGACAGAGTTTGCATTGCACTGTGTTCAATAGACTGCGCTTATAGGCCCCTTTTCAAATCTTTATGCTGAATGTGCAATGATCTAGTAGGAATCATTGTGTCTCAGTCCAGTTATCCTGTATCTATATAGAATTATAATTCTGTCAGGATAAATAATATTACATCTTAATATTAAAATGCTAACAATTTGATATCTAAGAACAGGGATGGGTAGTATGTGGTTTTCTGGATTTCAACTTAATCTGTCTCAAACTCAGTGTGGAATATACAGCCATCTTAAAATTAAGTCTTTCCTGAAGGAGCTACTGAATACAGTACTAGCATACAGAAAGGAGTACTGAATCTCTAAAGCTTCTTGGAAAGAGTTCATTAATTTTTTTTAATAATAATTTTATTAAATATTAAACAGTTAAAAAGATAAAAACTAATATAAAATAAGAAAAATAAGAATAAAAAGAAAAATAGAAAGTGCAGAAAATAAAAAAAATGGAAAAGAGAGGAAAAAATAAGACTATAGTAAAGAAAAGAAAAGAAATATATAAAGAAATGACTTCCCCCTTCAA